CCCTTGTGTTAATCTTAAAAACATCGTTTACTTTTAGGATACTTAGCCGAAATAAAGGCAAATAAAAATCTTATTTTCGTTTAGATATTAAGCTTGATATTCTCAGATTAGCATCATACGTTAAATTTTCTGCGAGTCTGCATTTAATTACATTTTTAATCGACCAACTTCTTTAGGGTCCGGGAATGGGTGCACCTCTTTTGGTGGTAGCCGTGGTAGCCCGGATTCTCTCGCAACTATGGCACAAACCACTCATTGGTGTTAATCACTGCATCGGCCATATCGAAATGGGTCGACAAATCACTGGGTCGCGCTCGCCAATTGTGCTTTATGTCAGTGGAGGAAACACCCAAGTTATCGCCTATTCTGCCAGACGGTATCGGATATTCGGCGAAACCATTGATATTGCTCTGGGAAACTGTCTGGATCGGTATGAGACAAACTAAATGTTGCTCATTTATGATGCTCTTATTTATATTTTTTGTGAGGTAGTATCTACTTTAATGCACGAACATTGTAAAAGCTAATCATTTATTGAAATGCACCACTATTTCAATGTACTTTGAGTTCTTGTTAGCAAGCATACAAAATATTCCTTTCAGTCAAGAATAACTTTAAATTACTGGTAAGCTAACGTCAATCATTCAATATTTGAATTGTAGGTTGATTTGTTATCTCCGTTAATACTTTAGCTAAGCTGTTTCCCAAAAAAAGTTATTTAAATAGTTTAAATAGTCATTATTTCCCTATTTTAAGGTCATACGTAATGAATGAATAATTCATGCAATGAGACCCATAACAGCCAAAGCGAGTCTTATGGGTTATGGTGTGCTCTGTTAAACCCTTCAATGCAAAAACGCATTAACGAGGACCGAAGTGATCCCATCTGTTCAAAATTATGCGCAAGAGAAACATCACCAATCCTACATAATCTGATGCGGCGATTTCGATCTTAACTGCACTTCATGAAAATTCAGTGTGATCTTTAACGACCTCTTATGCCCAGTTTGTGAGGAATATCTCCGCAAAATAATCAAATTATTCAAAAAAACGTACTTAATTACTTTAACACGAGGGTGATCCTAGGCTTCCTTGTCGTCCGAACCCTGAAGTTGTTCACGACTTCATTTAGCCATTGCTTTCCAATAGCCATTGTTTTAATCCCAGGATTAGCCATATGTTTTGATCTCGAAGATAGGCCTAGTAAACACCATCCGAAGGGATCGCAAGCACGTTAATGCGCGCCGTGGCAACAGCCCACCGCATTTTCACGCCCTACATTTGTTGTGGGAATCGATAAAAATGTCTATTTACTATTAAACTCAACAATATTACTTGAAAGTAGTTTCTATCACTCTTAATTATATTTAAATCCACACTTAAACGAAGGGCACTGATAATCTTCAGCAGTACTAAACATATGTTAGTAATGCTGAGTTGAATACCATATAATAGTTCGACTATTTGGAGCTCATACTCGCATCAAATGTAATTTATAAGAGACCGAGCTCAAGTTAAAGGTGAAAATTAATCGGGCATTTAGGCAGTGTTGTCATGACGAGCAAGACCAGATCTCACGTAAAGCAAAGTTCAAATTTCGGCCCACCCTGGAGGAGAAAGTTCTTTAGAGTATATGGCCAACTGTTTCATCGAGATGCAACGGCTTATTTAAAAAGCCATAGGTCACCAAAGCGATATAATGAGACCATTGTTATAAAATATATTTATTGACAGTTTCT